GATCCCAAAAAAATATGACAAAACCATTTTAGCACATAATAAATAGCAAAAGTTATAAACAAAGCATATCTAGAAAAAAGATATTTAAGTTTTTGCAAATCCTTCAGAAACTATGAAGAATTGGGAAATTTAAAAAGAAAATCATTAAATAGAAGGAACTTCACGAAAAAAATCGCACCTCCCGAAACTATATCCCTATTATTCCTAATTATTTATGAATAGGCGGCAGCGGGTAAATTTGGGGATGCGGACGCGGCATTTGAAGCGAGGACGTTATAAAAAATTGTTTATTCTCGTTGAAGAAAAATCTTCAAGTGAATCATCAAAACAACTATTAGGTAATTATTATTTAACGAATCTTTATTTGACTTACGTCTTCATTGAAGACCACAAAAAATATTTGAATAATTTCCAAAAAAATGTTTCGCTTCGTGATCTTCTCATCAGTATTTTTAATAAGATCACGTTTTTGTAACCAATAAAGACATTTAGTATGTTGAAAAAACATTTTTAGTGCCATTTGTTTATAAAATTTTCATAAACAAATAGATTATGTGAGTATGATGTTTCCTAGAAAAAAAATTTAATTGTTTATATTTTTTTTTAATATTTCAAAGGTTTGAACAATCAGTCAAGAAATGTTTTATATTTTGAAAATCATAATTGACATTTCTCTACAAATTAACAAAAAAATGTTTCCATTAATAATTTCATTGTTTATTTACTGAACAATTTGTTGNAAATAATATCTAATAATTGAAAAAACATTTTCCCGCGGCGGGCTATTTATAAATAATTAGAAATAATAGAGATAGCGCTTCGGGAGGTGAGACTTTTGTTCGTGAATTTTCTCCTTTTTGAAGATTTAATTTTTGAATTTCTCAGTTCCTTATAGTTTTTCAAATATTTGCAAAAACTTGAATACCTTTTCTCATACCTCAATTTGTTTTTATAACTTTTTCAATTTTTTTATGTGCTGAAAAACTATTTAGACACATTTTTCGAGATATCATCCCGGATCGAATAAGTCATCGCACGTATATTCCGACCATTAAGTATATCTCTATTTTTCATCATTTTCAACTTGTGAACTAGACTATTAGTCGTGACCTCAAGTCGATTCGAATTTTAACAGTTGGATTCATTTTACATAAAATATACCAATTCTACTTTCGATAAAAATGAATTCATATTTTTAATTCTGAAGGAAAAGTTTTTTAACATTCAGTACTTTCCTAAGATATATTCCGAGTTACATCACTGAATGATCATCCGGTATCTGTTTCTAGAAAACCAGGGGATTTTTGAATAGATAAATTGATTCTCTACTATCCTGAATTTCAAATATATAGTGATACCACACACTTACCAAGTTACCATTTCGAAACTGTAATTATAGAGATCAAAATGTAGTGAATCATTATGAGTCGCTAGCGAGAGCAAGATGAATTCTGTTTTCTTTGAAAAAATATAATTTTCTCTAGCATCATGATGAGATAATAGAAATCAGTGGGATTATAACACATCCAAAGGGTAAAAAATAATTTTCATTGATCAGCTGTAAATTATATTAATCAAGTGTGATGATAGCAGAGTTGATTTTAAGCTCCATATGTCTATCATATTGATAAACAATTTGATTGAATCAATGCTTCAACAGACCTGTTTCTGGTGAATCAAAAGTTGTTATTTGTGGATTAACGAGAGTTAACTTTTAAACGTGCGATTTCTAGCATCTAATCCTCTCATTGTCAAGTTGAGAGGAATGTTGGGAGAATGTTGTTTCAATAACATCATCCGTTGAATGGATTTGAAAGGAAATTTCGAATTTTGAAAATCTTCTTCTTTTATTTTATTTTTTCTTTATTTATGTAAAAACGATACTCACATAAAGCTGTTAAAAACAATAATTCATAATACTTTATTGATTGAAAGAACTTGATTTCGTAGGAGATTACTACAACTTTTTTACAAGTTTTTAACTTGCAATTTTGGTATACAGGATGTAACATAAGTACGTTAAAATATTCAATATTCAATGTTGTGTCCGGAAATGCTTTTATTCCGAGATACAGGATGTTGAAATTGAATTTTTTTGTTCGTTTTTCAAAAATAACTTTTGCAAAAAAAAAGTTATTTGCACGAAATTTGGTACCCGCTTTATTTTGAAGTGTGAAATCATAATTTCGTATTAATCGTGCATGTAACGTCTAGAGGGCTCTGCAAACGCTGTCATTATTTATTTCAAGTTACCTTAACTTTTTTGACAGTAAACTTTTGGTACTTCTCATAAAAAATCTTATTCCCACATCTTTTCCAAGTAATAAGGTACACTTCCTCAACAACGCTGGAGGTGATACTTTCTATATCGATTCATGTTACTTAGCTCCTAGGGTGCTAGTGAAGTTGCTGAGAACATAAGTTTTTGCAAATTTTGTTTTTTGTATCTCGAAATCGAATGATTTTTCAATAAACATTTTATAGTCGAATGTTATTTATTCCAACGAGATCCATCTCATACTTAGTTTTTGTAACGTTCTCAGCAACTTCACTTAGCGTCCCAGGAGTTAAGTAATAGAAACAAAGAAAGAAATTTATTCATTCATGGACCAACTACATGGTATCGAACATGTCAACTTATACTTATAAATATGTAAACAAACAAACATGTAAATATACATTCAATACATATAAACATAGGACCATAAAATACAGATATATATACATATATGTATAAATAAAAATGTAAAAACGTATAGATGTACAAGTGTAAAAATGTAAGATTAAAACATAAAAGAATAAGATTATTTACACACAGATATCCACAAAAACTCAATCAGCGAAATACTCTTGTAATGTATAATAAGATTTAGCCAATAAGAAATCTTTCAGTGATTTTTTTAATTCGAGAGTATTACAGGCCTTCATTAGATTAGGGAGTTTATTATATATTTTTACCCCAGCATAAGTTGGCGATTTTTCAAATGCGGATGTTCTGTGAGTCATTGTTATTAAATTTGAAGCATTTCTAGTGCAATATTGATGGTGGTAATTGTTTTTTATTAGCTCATTTTCATGCTTTTTAATGTGTAAGCAACTTTTATAANTTTTTCGTGAGGTCTTCGAATTGGGTATCGGTTGACATGATTCATCGTAAAGCATTTTGAATTGATCACAGAAATTCTGGAAATTGACCGATAATGATTTATCGTAGGATATATCCCATTCCTTTGTATCTAACATTGTTTTCAACTGACGGATATTCTTAAATGATATGTTTCTGTGGAAGCCAGTAGGGATAATATCTACTTCAGGTTCAGGAGTGCTGTAGTTATAATGCATAGAAGTTGCTAAATGATCTGAGAGGTGAGGATTGAATGTTGTTTGAGTACATTTATTAAGATCCAAGTTAGTTATAATGTAGTCAATTTCACTAATTGAAGTTTGATTGTTTTTATTAGTGCAAATTCTTGTAGGTGTCGAAACTAAATTGTGGCATTCATATGAATCCATCAGATCCTTTAATAATTTAGATTGTCGTTTTTCTTGTCTACAAAATCAATGTTTAAATCACCACAAATTATGATTTTATGAGTAAATACTTCATTGATAATGAGAGACAATTTGTCAATAAAGTTCGTAACACAGCCATTTGGGGGCTGTATATGCAAATCAAGCATATTTTTACATTCGCAGTTATTTCTAGCATACAGTACTCAAGTTCTATCTCCTCAGAAAATTTGTTTGTCATTGGCCTATATTTATTCCTGTATTGTTTTTCTTGTAGATAGCCGTTCCTCCATGAATTCTTGACTTTCTGCAAAAAGATGTCATCAACGTATAATTAGGAATAACTGCCATGTTAATGTTCAAATAATTTATCCAGTGTTCACTTAAGCACAGGAAGTCAATATTTGTCTGAATTAATATAATTTCAATTTGATTTATTTTTGATGCCATGGATTGTACATTAATATGTAATATTTTCAGTACTTTTATAGATTCTAAGCCCATTTCAGTTCTAAAAAATCAGAATGATTTATTGTTTCGTTCATCTCTGTAAAACGTGACTTATCTATATTTTCTGTTCTTGATTCATGAGGAATAAACTCAGACTGAGATACGTGATCATCTTGAGTTCCGTTGTTATTTGTTAATTTGGGTTCTTGTGCAAAGGTTTCAAAATTCTCTGAAATCTTATCTTCTGCAGCTGGCTTTATTTTCTCATTTATGAATGTGATGAGAGCTTTGCTTACCAACACTATTCCTGAGTTTTTCAGCATCTCACTATATCTATGAAAATGAAACCATTTCAGATAGCTGTTGCATTCAAAAAGTTTTACTGAACTAGTAAGATTACGTAGCTTCTTGGATAACATAAGGTTATTTTCATAAATATCGTCATTTTTACTCCATCTGTTGTAGGCGTACGGCTTTGTAATTATGACGGTATTTGTGTGACTTGTACTTTTGATAAATGATACTAACCACAACCCCAGAATATGAAGTCAATATCTTCACCTACCACAAAATGGAGGAACATTTAATAATTTCCTGAAGACAAACACATTAATTTCGATATTTCTAGGAATATTCCTTTTTATCTGCCATATGGCAACTCCGACAACCCGATAAGGTTTGTTAAGTTATTTTTTGTTTATAAAAACGATAAAAAATGTCAGTACAACAATGAACATCATTGTTCAGTTAGAATATTCTCATTTAGTTTTCGGTTTTATTACTAGAAAGGTACCACGTCAACCATCTCTAAAATGGTCAATTCTCGTCCATTGGGAAAAAAAAATTGAAGCAATTTTTATTTACGGTGCGACGCGTAACTTTCACAAGACCGAAAGGATTTTCAATGAACGTTTNTATTTTTGAGAAAGTTACAAAATGCTTTGTTTATTAATGATTTACTAATAATATTTATTGAATCCCTGTTCTAATTATGTTGTACATTTCAGATATGTATTTCCATTATGTTTGAAAACAACTTACAAATATGTTTGGTAAATGATACTCACTGTTCTTTTCCTGTAATATCTAATAACTTTTCATATATTGACTTAACAACATCAAATGATTTCGAACTAGTTATACTGTAGACTAGGACATATCCATGCACGTCGATACTATACTGGGATGGAAAAATTGAATATTCATCTTGACCAGCAGTATCTACAAGCTTCAGTTCGTATTCTTGGGAATTGATTCTTGTAGATTTAGTGAATGCTAATAAAAAATTAAAGTGAGGAGTACTAATTAAAATTAAACCATGGAAATAAATACAACTCACTGTTTTCTATGGTAGGATCATAGGAATCCACAAATTGTCCCTCTACAAATTGAATACTGAGTGACGATTTTCCTGAAAATAAAGAACATTCTTGAAAATTTCATCTGTCAATTTCACTTCAAAATAAAATTTTCATGCATTAATTTCATTACCCAAATTTAAATTTTTTGAGTTGACCCGTTCAAAAAATAAAGAGGGGGTGTTAAAGAAATGCACTTTTTCATCTTATCGAGAAACTTGTTTCCAATTAATCAATTCACTATGGAAGAAAACAGCTGACTTCTGCACCTGAGATACCAATTCTATCTAACCTGATTATGCTAACTTGTTTAGCTGAAGCTCAACGACAGACAGCGCTTTAGTTCAGATGTGGCAAAATGTTTGTGTTGGATAATGTTTATTAATTCACAAAAAAAGGTATTTTCATGATTTCAAAATTGGTATGATCCTTTTCATTACTGACGATAACAATCTTTACTTACCGCATTCTGTTTAGCAGATGTTTCTAGAAATATTGCCTTCCATTCATCTGCCAAACGTTTACCCTCTTCAGTTGCAATCGTTCTTTCCATGTGTAAGTCTGTTTTGTTCCCTACCAGAACTACTGGGACACTGAAATATTTATTACATGAATACCGGCAATGAAATAAGAATTGAATATTTCAGATTTTTCTTGGTAACTGTNTTGTCCCTCTACAAATTGAATACTGAGTGACGATTTTCCTGAAAATAAAGAACATTGAACCTTTCATTGAAAATCAAGAATAATATTTCATACCTACTGATCTGTAGCCCATAACTGCAATTTTGCGTTGTTTTGAAGGCATTTTCCTCTAATTAATAAATATTACAAAAATATTGCAAAGCTTTTGAGGTATGTAAATAAAATGATAAAAAATATAAAAACTTAATAATATGACAAACAAATAACACAAATCACACTACGATCTCATGGACAGACAGCCTTGGACAGAAAAAGGCGAAGGCAAGATATACCAGAAAATATAGAATTGTCTTTTATTTATGGACCAACCAATGACCGATCGTCTTCAACAACAAATTATATATGTATATATGTAAGGGATATCAATAGAAAACTCCCTTTTGGATTTTTCTGGAATCAGTGAAAACTAAATTGTCCACCTTCAACACCAGACGTTTAATCAGATACATTAAAAAGTGTACGTTAAAAGTCCAAGGTAAATATCAACCATCAGCTGTTATCTCATCGCAAATTTTTTCATACAATGATAGTTGTGTTTTTTTATGCAACTTTTGGTGGAAATGACAGATGTCGAATAAATTTCGTGCGATAAAAACAGACCTATTACAATCAAGAATCAAGTAGGTTCCATGTTCCTCATACCACAGAATACTGAAAGGAAAATATTGTTAGACATCGCTAATTGTTTCACGAACCTTGAATTGTACCCACCGACAAAGGTTATGTCGATGATTGTACCAGGAACACAACTGCTTTACAATATGTCACTTTTACGTCATCCGCTGATGATACCAAACCACCAAACGTGAACGCCTCAAAAAGCTATTGAAATAAGGCAATTATTTAAAATGAACATAAAATTTCTGATGGATCGCTTCAAACAAATAGAAACGCTTTAACATTTCAAATTGACCAATAGATGCTTCCATTGGATCAATCGGTGGACTCACCAGTGAATTTAAGAACTCGTCTATGTGGTGACTCAAAAATATAGGAACTTCCTGAAAAACTGTATTGTACACAAAACGGTAGCCTTAAAAAGACGAATTCAAATTCATCAGTGAGTTCAATGATTGATCTACTGGTTTCATCTATGGGTCCATTCAAAAATTTAGCGCATTTCCATTGATTGAAGCAATCTATCAAAATTTTTCTGTTGAATTATAGGAACACTCCGTTCAGCACACTTATTTGAAATATTGTAACCTTTCTCTTGGTAAATTTTCATAAAATGGAAAATAATTTGAGAGATCAAAAAACTTTATTTACTATTACTATCACGATCTGATATCTGATATCACTTGCTTTTTGTGACGTCACTCTGGTGACGTCACAAAATCGCACATGTGCAGTTGAAGAATGACCAAAGGGTGCTAATAACAACTTAGCCATATTACTGAGGTCTGTCATTGAACTGAGCCTAAGATCCTCTTCTGATGGCTCCAACTTGGTTAGTAAATGCTTGTCCAGGTTGAGAAGAGTGTTACACGTGTGCGAAAGGTATTTTTCTTGTAAACGTTATGATTCTGTCTTTCCATAAAATATCATATCCAAAATTAAATGTTTCATATCTAATACTTTCATTACATAGTGCTCTGGGTAGACAGGCTAATAACTTGAACATTACCCTGTAATTTATTCACAGAATGATAAACAATATTCTGCGATTTAATAGACTGACTGACTTGACTTCATTCATAACGTAGGACTTCTGATTCGACGGGGAAGCAGATAGTCCATTTTGAACAAGTTTTCCCGTTTTGTTGTGTGACTGTTTGCCGTCCGAAATACGTATGTTGGAATCTTATATATGTATTGTTGTCCGCCGTGATATGATTAATATGTATATGTGCATTGAAATAGTTCGTGGCATTTGGGGTCTCACTTCAGGTGAGTATCTTGAATACCACAGGAAGGGTTATGATCGTTTCACCGAAGACTGGCAAATTGCTCAAGATAGCCAAAGCCATTATCAAATGAAACGTTAACGTAGACAACCAACTGTACAAACAAACGTAAGCAGATCAATCTAAGCAATATTTAATTTTAAAATGTGTAACCCGAATACCCTATCCAAGTATGATGGACCCTTCCATTTAGATAATATATATATTTAGGTCTTACACTTATGCCAGATTACCAGGTCACTTTTTGTTCTTTTCGCAACTTTTCGATCGACGGTTCTAATCGATATTTCGAGTTATCGTTCAAAATAAAGTGATTCGTAAAGCGGCTGGTTTTGAATAATATACTATTTTTGTTTTATCGAATTAATGGCGCTTAGAAGATAGTGTTAGGTGCACGAATTAAAAGAGAGAACATGTTTTTCCTTGAAACGTGGTAAGGTTTGCGTACGGATTTGCCGTTGAATTTGTCATTGTGATGCTTGATTTTATGACTAATTGGACATCTAACCAATTTTCGCATTGATTTCAGCGTGTTGTTTTTGTGTTGATTGAAAATAATAAAAATCACCATTCCATGTAGTAACATTGTTTTATTTCCTTTGATCAAAATACATGGGCTTTTTGGAGGCGACTACGTATATATTACATGCCCTCGTATACACCATAGCTATAAATTATTGGAAATGAACGGATAAATGTACCTGTGGTATATCATGTTTATTGATGCAAGGTTTTTCTATTAAAATGCACATCCTGAATTTCCACATGAACTAATGATCTGCCATTTGTTTATTCGAAAATACATTTAACTATGAAGTCCGAAGGGGATTTTTCCCTGCCGTTCTGAAATACTGTGAAATTAATTAGCTATCAAATCCTTCAATTATCATTCAAATTATTTCAGAAATTATATAATGAATGTTAATTTGGTGATTTTTACTCGAAGGTTACTACTACTACACTAAATATATACAACACGTTGTACCAGTACTTTCCATCGAGATAATCAATTTAATGGTGAAATAGTTATGAATTGACTAATTTATTTATAGAAAATATATTTGTAAGCTCAAGTGTAATCAACCCAACTGAAAAGTACTGCTGAAAATGAAAAAATCTTACCGCATTTCTCAGTTTTGGTTTTATTTTAATTACTTCAGGTGGAAATTCTGAAAGTGAGAGTCTTCATTAGAGCTACATATCAATCTGTGGGCCCAGTTGTTTGACAGCTTGAGAATGTAGGTGAACTTTGAAATGAAAATATATATATATAAACTTTTCATATATTGACTT